AGACGCAAAGGCCTCAAAAAGCTCAGGTGGAACAAATTCAAATAGAAGTTACCGATCCAAATACTTCTCTCAATGTTCGTATTCCGGATGGAAACTCGGAGGATGAGGAAGAAAAAGCTAGATATCAATTGTTCTTGACATTACCTGAGGATTTCCAAGACGCCTTAAAAACCGGCGAATTAACAAAGATTAATAAGGTCTTAGGCGAAATGACAGTAGAAGAAGCGGAACGTGTTTTAGACATATGTGGAAAAGCAGGTGTCTTGTCACTTGAAGGTGGTATTATCGATGCCACTCAAGGTCAGACTATTCCCGGGCAAGTTATCGATAAAGATGAATAAGTAGTACTTGTATTCTATTATTATTATACTAGCGTTTGACTTATCGCATTGACCCGGATTAACTATTTATTTAAAATATATGTATAAAAATATTTAGTTAAATGCTTAAATAAAATATTCAAATTTATAAATATTTATTACTTTATTTTAGTTCATTTATTTAGTATATAAAAAGAATAAACACATTTACAACTGTTCTCATAAATTCTGGGACAAATTAAAATTTTGTTCGTTATCTGAAATCTTTTCTGTTTCATCCCGCAAATTATCTAGCTCTCCGGAAACTATATCGCTATCTTCGAACTTTCGGTCCGGAGACAGCGATGCAGTTTCTGGAGAGTTAGGTAATTTACAGGACGAAACCGAAAGATTTCGGGTAACAAGCAAAATTTATGAGAACAGCTGTAATAAACTGAATATTTAAAGTAACAGGTAATGGTGGAACTATCAATGTTAAAAATTAGTGATACTTAATTGTCGCATTCAATACTTTATACAGTCAACTCTCTCTATAACGAACTGACGGTTCTGGAAGAAAAAAAAATTCGGTATAGGCTCAGCATTTTCTATACTGAACTATTATGGATTTTTAAAATTTTTGGTTCGTTATATCCAGAGTTCTCTATATAGAGATTCGTTATATCCAGAGTCGACTGTATGTTTCAATACGATTAAGTGCACAATTCCATACGTCATTATAAGTGCGAGTTTTTTATTGCCACTAAAATTTTATATTTCATTACATTATCATATATCATTCTATCAAAGTAAATTTTCAAAAAGCAAAATTTATAACTATATTTAGTGAAAATTTACTGTACTTTTTCTGTTTATATTAAACAAATTAATAAATTAAATATTTAAGCAAATGTTGTTTTAAATAAAATTCTGTAAAAAATATATTAATAAAATATATAATAAACTATATATTGTTTAAATATCTAAATTAATAAAATATACTATAAATTATTTATAATTTATCGCTATAGCGATGTATTGCTACGTATTCTAAATCAAAATCACCGAATTTAATTATGCGATGTTAGGGCCTATGATTTCATAGGAAGAAGTTCGTCTGATTGGCTGATGTAAATCAATTGCCCGGGTAACTTATTTATATGTTTTAAAGTA